GAGTATCAAGAGAAAGTCAGTTATAGAGGAATGTGCACAGTAGGATTCTAATTCTATAAATTCCAAGCTCAGACAAAACCAACTAATATATTGTTTGGGGGAATCTATACATCTGTACTAAAACCATAAAGAAAAACAAGGATGATTAACAGGAAACTTTGAAACAGTATTTACTCAGGGACATGAAGGTGGGGGTACAGGGTACTTCTGAGGTCCCGGTTATGTTCTTTTACCCTAGCTGAGTGGGGGATACATGGATGTTCATTTTATAATTATTATTTAACTATATGTATCCATTATGTATACTTTTTATATATAATTTTACAGTAAAAGAAAAAAGGAGAAAGAAAAGAAAAAGGAAATGATCTGCTCTGGTTACAAAAGGCAGCCACATTGTCTAGCATTTTCCAAATGGTAATGAGTGTTCTATACTTACTATGCTTGGGGACAGTTCTAAGTCACTTTATATGTATATATAAATATAAATAAAAATAAGTAATATAAATAAAAATAAATATATATAATACATATTTTAATGTTTATTTTTCAGAGAGAGAGACAGAACGTAAGCAGGGGAGGGAGGAGCAGAGAGAGAGGGAGACATAGAATCTGAAGCAGGTTCCAGGCTCTGAGCTGTCAGCACAGAGCTCGATGTGGGGCTGGAACCCATGAACACTGGATCAGGACCTGAGCCAAAGTCAGACGCTTAACTGACTGAGCCCCCCAGGCACCCCTCTAAGTCTCTTTAGACACATTAACTAACTGAGTCTCATCCCAGTCTTATGAAGTAGATCCCCATTTTACACATGGGGAAAACTGAGACTAGAGAGGGTACAAATACTGCACAAGATCACACAACCACCAAGCATCAGGGCTGGGAGCTGAATGAAAGCCACCATCTTGACCACTCTGCAGTAACGCCCTCGGTGTGATCAGGACTTTTTCTTTCTAAAGTATACAGTTGGCTCTTGAACAATGGGGAGCTTAGGGGCACTGACCCCCTGTGCAGTCAAAAATTTGTGTATAACTTTCAACTCCCCCAAAACTTAATAATAGCCTGTTGTTGACCAGAAGTCTTACTGATAACATAAATGGTCAATTAACACCTATTTGAATGTTATATGTATAATGTACTGTAAACTAGAGGGGCGCCTGGCTGGCTCAGTTGGCTAAGCCTCCGTCTTCAGCTCAGGTCATGATCTCACAGTCCACGGGTTCCAGCCCTGTGTCGGGCTCTGTGCTGACAGCTCAGAGCCTGGAATCTGCTTCTGATTCTGTGTCTCCCTTTCTCTCTGCCCCTTCCCCACTCACACTCTCTCTCTCTCTCAAAAATAAATATTGAAAAGAAATTTTTTTTAATGTACTGTAAACTAGAGAAAGCAAAATGTTAGGAAGATCATTAAGGAAGAGAAAACACATCTATCGTACTGTGCTGTGCTGTGCTTAGTGGAAAGATCTGCATCGTTCAAACCCATGCTGTTCAAGAGGGCAAAGAGCCTTGCTCGCAGTCACAGTAGATAATGTGTGCCCTTCAGAGAAAACCCCTGAGCGCTCCCTGCCCGCCTGCGCCTCCTTTGCTTTCGCTCAGATTTCCTTTTCTTTCAAACCCCACAGACAGCACTAACGGCTCGAGGAAAAGTCGGGCTGAGTTCATAGTCCCTCTTCTGGGCCCAGGCTTCTTGGCCGACTCCATCTGGCGCTCCTAGCTCCTGTTCTGGCTGCCAGAAACGAGAACCCGAGAACCCGATTGCCCTCCCAAGGCAACAGCGGTAAAGACATAAATTATGTCTGGAATGCGGTTGACCAGAGGAGGCGCTCCGCTGTCTGTTCGCGATCTGAGCCTGCCCGTTTCCTCCTGAAGCAGGCACAGCAGCTGACTTGCTCAGAGAGCCTACCAGAAGCTGGTCACCCAAGGAGTTAGGTGCCCCTGGTCCAGTCCTACCTCTGATTTCCTGTGCAACCTTAGGGTGCGTCCCCGCCAGCTTTGATCTCCGCTGACTACTTATGAAACGAAGGCTGCATGATTCTAACGCTTCCTGGGTGAGTTATCACTCTGGGCACCAAGCTGGATGGGCCAGGGGCAGCCCTCTCAGGACCAATCCTGAACAGCTGTCCACACAGAGGGCGGGCCTCACGGCCGGCGCCAGTGCCCGGGGATCAGGTCTACTCTGTTTGTCCCCCCCTGGCCAGCACTCCTCAGCCCGATGTGTTTCTCTGGGTAACCAAGCCTCAGATCGACCATTTCATGCCTTCTCCAATTTTTTCCAAGACTCTTTCAGACCTTCCACCCTGCTGATCTCCATCCTCATTTTGAGCAAAGGTCCCTTTTTACTTAAAAAAAAAAAAAAAAAAAAAAATGGGGGCAGGGGCCTGGGTGGCTCTGTCAGTTGAGCGTCCAATTTCAGCTCCGGTCAGGATTTCATGGTTTGTGGGTTTGAGCCCTGCATCAGGCTCTCTGCCATCATTGCAGAGCCCACTTCAGATCCTCTGTCTCCCTCTGTCCATACTCTCTCTCAAAAATAAACATTAAAAAAAAATCTATTCAGAATTGCCTAATCCTCCTGATACCAAAATTGACCTCACTGTGTCTGTACCCAGCCTACTGTCCCTTCCCTTCCCCGCCCTCCCCAACAGAAGAAGCCAGTCGCCCCAGCAGCACCTTGGGGTGCATCCTCTCCTGCCCTTTATGGTTTCTTCCATTAAAGATACCATGTCTTTTCCTCTTTCCCTGCCTTAGCGATTTTTGCCTTAGTCTTTGATTTTCAGCAAGTTTATTATGTGCTGACATGTAGTTTTATTTAAAAATATTTTCCCTCTGGCATCTGCTGTTAAGTGACTTAAGGAAGTTCTACAAGATTAGGACAGCCACCCAACCAAGTGAGTCTTCTTACATTCAGTTCTATGGCTCCTTCAGGCACAAGACAGCCTACCCCATCGTGCCAGAATATTTACATAGAGCACTTTTAAATCAAAGTACTTCAAGTGCTTTTCTCTATCCCCTTCACAAATATTTACTGGGGAATGTGTGGTGAGCCAGGCACTGAGCTGGGTGCTGGAGATACAGTGGAGGGTAGGAACGTGCAGAGACCCATGTTCTAGGAGCTTCCAGTCGCTTTCAGTGGGTGTGACTCCCCTTCAGAGAGAATGTACTTTTGCCTCCAGCGCACAGAGTGAAGGTAAACAGTCTTTATCCATCTGGTGTCCAGCTCGTTCGAAGCTGGGTTTCAGTCTTTATGAGGACTGCTCCATTTCCAGTTGATTCTCACTCCGGGGAAGGCTGTGGGTGGAGTCCCCACTGAACGTGTGGGGGTCTCCAAGCCCCTCCTCTGTGGTGGGCTTCTCCAGGAAGATGAGCTTTTCAAAGCCTTCTTAAGCTTCTCGGCTGCTCACTGAGAGCTTCCAAATCAGCAAATCCCTTGAGGGAAGGAGAAGCATCTAGAGTCTGTGTCGCTTAGGCGCGGTTCACCTTTCTCTGTGAACTCAGCTCAAGTTCTGTGTGCCTTTCAGGGCCCTGGACACCAGTGTGTTTCCCAACCCTTTAATTGGCTCCTGAGCCCCATGGCCACTGTGTTTCACTTGACTTCTCAGTCTTCCAGCTCTGTCTGCTCACAAAGGGACAAATGCCTCAAAGGGAGACCAACTACTCAGAAGGTCAGGCTCACAGCCACACTTCCCTTCTCTAGTAGCTTGGACCCCTCACCCTGGTTGTCGTGGTAGCTCTACAATGGCTGTGAAGCTGTTTGTGTTTAAATTCAGTTTCCTGTCTGTTCTCGGCAGAAAAGTTGCTGTAACACAACTTAGTTTGACGTGGCCCAAAGTGAGGTCCCGGGACGAATGCCATTTTAATTATCAGAACTTTTTGGCGCCTGCGATCCACGCCCCACCATCCGCCAGACATCCTGACCTGTTTCTCTTCACTGTTGTGCGCCTCGCTGATCATGCTGTCTGACCACTCCCTGTCTTTCTGGACGCAAAATTTAAAGATTGTGTTCCATTCGAACAATGGGTTGGGCAATGTGGGCAGATCAGTGCCCCGCTCCCCTCCAGAGCCAGTGACTAGGTGCAGTGAAGTTGAGTATATTCTTGGCATTAGTTAATTGAGGTTTGGGTCCTCTGACGAGCTGGCGGTTTGGTTTGGCTCGCTCTCTAGTGGGAGAGAAAGCCCCAGACGTTCTTCTTCCTTTCTTTTCTGGATGTTTTACAGTGTGGAGAAACTTGTTGGGAATTAGAAATGGAAATCATTTTTTCCCCTCTATTTTTATAGAGTCAGCAGTGAAATTTTACATGTGCAGGGGCCAAATATTGAAGCAAATTTAACAGTGATACAGCAGTTTGTTGGTCTTTTAGCCACGGACATCCCATGCTACTTGTCTGTATTATGTAAGCTCACAATGTCTTCACTTGAGGTGGTAGTTCCGTTTTTCATTTTAGGTGCCCATAAACATTTAAACACAATCCCTCTTGTTCTTGTCTGCATACTTCACACATCTTATTCCATTTATTCCTTACTGTAACCGAAGGAGACTACTATTCATTTTTCCATTTAGGCCTTAACACCGCTCACCAGCAGTAGAACAAGCCTTTGAATCCAGCCCTATCGGATTCCCAATCATGGTGCATAGCATCCCCGCTCTGTTGCTTTCCACCTGGCTGTTGATGCCATGGGTATTATCTGCCCTCCTGAGAGATGTAACTTTGCAGAATCGCCAAGGAAATAGTCCACTTCATCCCAACTGATTTGTGTTAAAGAATGAGATTGTGTACCTTGATTGCAAGGCAAACACCATATCTGGGCAAGACCAGACTGAGGATTTCCCATCTCCTCAGGACAGAATGTGTGGCCGCTGATTTTGGCAAAGCACAAGCTGGTGTATTATTAACTTTGAGTAAGGATGCATGTTTTACATGAGTTTTTGAGATCTTGAAACCAGAACTTCAACAACAACAACGAAAGGATTAATTGTGAACTAATTTATTGCATCTGTCGCTCTCAATTTCAGGCAAGTCTGCTTAGCATTAACAGCACTTGTACAGAGACGGGAAATTTTGACAACGCTAACATCACCGGAGAAATCGAGTTTGCCATTCGCTATTGCTTCAAAACCCGTTCTTTAGAAATATGCATCAAGGGCTGTAAGAATCTTGCCTATGGAGAGGAAAAGAAGAAAAAGTGCAATCCGTAAGTTTCTTTTTCTAAGTTTTGACATTGGATGATAGGCATATTGGGCCTAAGTTTATGTAGAAAAGTAAAAGCCGAAAATTAACCAAGACAATTGTAAAAAAAAAAAAACAAAAAAAACAAACAAAAAACTAAACTAAAAAAGGCCTATCAAGAATTATTTTAAAGCTACAGTAATTCAAACAGTGTATTATTGATGCAATGATAGCTAAGTAGGTCAACTGAGCAGGATCAGAAGTCCAGATGCAGATCTTAGCTAAATTTGGGAATTTCTAGGATCAAGGGGCTATTAGAAATCAACACAGAAAAGATGAACATCAATACATGGTGTTGGGAAATTTGACTTCCCTTACAGGAAAAATCAAACCAAAAAAACTGTCTCACACAATCTGTAAACAGATTAAAGTTTTCTTCCAGGGCACCTGGGTGGCTTAGTCAGTTGAGCGTCTGACTCTTGATTTCAGCTCAGGTCGTGATCCCAGGGTCATGGGATCAAGCCACAAGTTGGCTTTGTGCTGAGCGTGGAGCCTGCTTAAGATTCTTTCTTCCTTTGCCCCTCTCCACTGCTGATGCTCTCTCTTTCTTTAAAAAGAATTTTTTTTCCAATTGTTATGAAAAGATATCTCATTATTGTAGTGTGCATTTCTCTGATCACTAACAAAGATGAGCAACTTAGACATTTAGGGTTCCCCATCTATGAACTTCCCATTCATATCTTCTGCCATTTTTCTATTGCGTTGTCATTTTTGTATTTATTTACAGGAGTATGGGGTGTTTAAAAACCTGTTTTGACTATGACTCTTCATAGTTCTATGTATTTTATATATCTTCTAGTTGTTTTTTTTAATTTTTTAAAATGTTGCTTTATTTTTGAGAGAAAGAGACAGAACACAAGTGGGAGAGGGGCAGAGAGAGAGGGAGACACAGAATCCGAAGCAGGTTCCAGGCTTTGAGCTGTCAGCACAGAGCCCGATCTGGGACTTGAACCCACAAACCACGAGATCACGACCTGAGCTGAAGTCAGACACTTAACCGACTGGAGCCCCCCAGGCGCCTTGTAATGTTACTTGTATTCTAACACTATTTAAGATAGCTTTGCTTGCAGAGAATTCGATGTCCAATTCCTTTAAAATGTCTGCCTTTTGAGTCTGTAGGAAAACTCAAGGTTATAAATCTATTCTTCTCTATTTTCATCTATTAGAGTATTTTCATACTTAGATCCTTTCACAGTACAATTGGAATTGATTTTCTGAGTACAGTTTAAGGTAAGGACCACATCTTTGTCTGTCTTTCTTCCTACATGGGAAATTGGAGCACAGTTTTTTAATTACCAGTTAGGGAAAGGGGATGGATTGTTGGTCCAGCCAGACTGTCCTCTGCAACTTTCAGTGTAGACAGATGAAGTACTTTGCTGTAGCACTTAAGGATCTCCAAAACAGCATCCTTCTTGTCTTTCTAGTATCTTCTATTATTTCCCCAATTTATACCTTATGCTCTAGGAAAATTGGAATAGTCATTGTTTCAAAGCTACCGCCCTGACTTTTCCAAAGAGAGGCTTTCTTCGTGCTTGTGTTGGGACCACTCTCCCTATACCACTGCTACAAGTAGCAGCTGCAATCCTGTCCCTTCTGCAGACTCCAGTCCAGTCAGGGACATTCACTCAGCCCTTGACTGTTCATGCACGCCGGGCCTCTCTTGTAATCCTCAAAAGGACTATAGTGAGGTGGTTGGGAGTATGGACCTTGAGCCCTGGTCCACCATGTATGCGACTTGACCTTGGGCCAGCCACTCAGCCTCTCGATACCTCAGTTCCCTCACTGTAACATGGGAATGATAATAGCACCTACTTCAAAGGATTCTTGTGGTGTTTCCCTGAAGTTGCCCATACTAAACCTTCAGAACAATGCCTAGAACATAATCAACACTCAACAGATAGGAAGTGAGTGAGATGTGGCGTGCACAGAGGTAGACCTAAAAATCCACAATAGGGACCCCCTTGAGGTTCAGGCTAAATACTCAGCTGCTCATACGCAGGACAAGATTTCATGAGGTCTGTCACAGTGTGGCTGCTGGGTGTGGCCCAGAGCTGGGGAAGATGGGAGCTCTGACCAGCCAGAGTGGAGACTGTTAAACACCCAGGGCATTCAGGGGAATACAACAGTAGGACACGCTCTAGCCCCAGAGTGAGGGCTACTCCACCCACCTGAGCAAAATCAAACCTTGCCAGGGTCACAGTGAGTTGCCCGTCAGTGAAATGCCTGCTAGAACAAAACTCAATGCTTTTTCAAGGAAAAATAGCCCAGAGAGGATTCTGGGATGGTGGCAGGGGGGGATGCACCAGGAAGCGGTCTCCCTTTGCAGACAACAATTGCACCGGGAGCATCTGTCTGATGTAACTATTTTGGAACTCCGGAGTTTAGTAAAGGCTTGAAAATCCAGGGGAAGCCGCGATGGTACGTTGTGATCAATTTCAAGCAATTTCAGCCCTTAGCAGGATAGCCGCTATCAGTCCCTCACTTGCAGCCGCAGCCATGCCAGTGGAAGCAGCTTATACACAGCTTGCGGGAGTCCGCGTGCACAGTGAAAGGACTTTGTCTTCCAAGTATCAGGGATCCATGCTGACTGCATGGCTGCTTCTGATCGCAGAGGTGCAGACACAGAGGCGGGCAGCCATTGCGGCATTTCCTCCAGGTATTGGGATCCAGAGGCGGTCCTCAGGAGGATTACCCGCAGATTTCTCGTCAGATACTACAGAGGCCAGAAGGCAGTCAGTAGATATGGTCAATGGACTACAAGAGGGAAGAAAAAACCTATCAACCAAGAATTCTATATCCAGCAAAACTTTTCTTCAAACGTGAGGCAGAAACTAAGATATTCTCAGATAAACAAAAGCCAAGGGACTTTGTTAACACTAGAAACTTCTGTCCTGCAAGAGATTGTCAAGGGGGCCCTGCAAGGTGGGCTGCAAGGACACCAGACAGTAACTCAAAGACCTACGAGGAAACGAAGACCTCGGGAAAAGCAAATACACAGGCAGTTATAAAAGCAGGTGTTATTTAACGGTGGCGTGGACTTCTACTTTTTGTCTTCCACAAGACTTAAGAGACTAATATGTTTTTAAAATTATTCATCTCTTACTGTTGTTGTAATTTTGGTTTGTCACTCCACACTTTGTCTTTAACCTAATTTAAGAGCTGCATGTATTTAAAGGAATGTTTAGTTTGTGTCACACGGTCTGGAAAGGTACAGTTCTGAGACCTCAGCAATGCAGAGCGGTGAGGTTGGCACTATAGAGAAACCGGGAGGCGGCGGCTGAGTGGCTAGTACATTGAGTGTCCGACTTGGTTCAGGTCATGATCTCACAGTCTGTGAGTTCGAGCCCCTGCTTCAAATTCTGTGTCTCCCTCTCTCCCTGTCCCTCCCTTGCTCACACTCTGTCTCTGTCAAAAATAAACAAACATTTAAAAAAAAACCAAACCAGGTGCAACCAATAGACAGAAAGTGCCCCAGGTGCACAATGTCTTTTGCTTGGGGCTGGTTCCCAAGGGTCCTCAGTGCCTCACACCTCTGTGCCCTCTACAAGAGACTCCTTCTGGATCCAAAGACAGAAATAGAAGACCTCCTGTGTAAACAGTAGCCAGAAGAGAACAGACAGGGCTACACTAAAATCACACAAAATAGACTTTATTTTTAACGTTTTTTCCTTTACTTGTGTTTGAGAGAGCATGAGTGGGGGAGGGGCAGAGAGGGAGGAGGAGACCGAGGATCCACAGCAGTGAGCAGCAAGCCCCACGTGGGGCTGAAACTCACAAATAGTGAGATCATGACCAGAGCCAAAGCTGGTCACTCAACCGACTGAACCACCCAGGCGCCCCACACAAACTAGACTTTAAAGCAAGAAAGGTCATAGAAGATAAGCTGTTATAGGTTAACAGGAGGAAGTTCAGTTCAGCAAGATGTGACAGGTCCGTTTTGCTTCGGGAGCGTCGAGGCTGTGGGGAGCGCGCCGGGGGGTGGAAGCTTCCAGGGCAGCCAGGACAGTGTCAGGACCTCCCTGGAGGGAGGGATCTTTTTAGAACAGGGTTTCAGGGGATGGGCAGAATGTGGAAGGAGAGGCCCCCACAAGGGAAAAGTAAAGTGTGAGGCATATACTTTCTATTTCCACTTTTGGGGGCGGGGCGTTGGAGGAAGCAATGGGTGGAGGGAGGGAGGACCAGCTGGCATAGGGTCCCCAAACCCAGGCGGGTTCGAGAATCTGCCACCCGTGGAGACTCCGCGCCCGGTCTCCGGTTCCAGGATCGTCACCAAGTGGCGAATCATGAGCGATATAGATTCTAGGGGAAGGGCACGAGGAAAGCGGGGGAGCTTCCCACCCCCAGGAACATTCTGGAGGATTATGGCCAAAGACCGTGTAAACCAGAAGCTGCATACCCAGCACTACCATTGTTCCCCGTCAGGGGAGGCCGCCGAGCCCTTTCTGTCCGCCTCAAATCCAGCAGGGAAGCAGGGTACAGAAGACGCTGATGTGTGATTCTCTTCCTCCTGAACCCTTTGGCCCCTGCTCCCACCCCCCGCCTGACCTTTCACCTTGTCCCGTCTGCGTTTGGCCACTAGGTACGTGAAGACCTATCTGCTGCCCGACAGATCCTCCCACGGAAAACGCAAGACTGGAGTCCAAAGGAACACCGTGGACCCAACCTTTCAAGAGACCTTGAAGGTACTTGCTGGACAGATATTCACGTGCTAAGTCCCCCATCCCGGGCTGGGCACAGGGGGCCAGAGTTCAGCGGAGTGTTCTTCCAGACTCTTGAGTCAGTGAAATAGAAGTACAGACATTTCGGCATTTCTGCAGGGCTCTGTCAATCAGTGGCAGGTCAGCAGGAACTAAATGGCAGCCTTTGTACAGAGTCTGCTGGACTTGAGGATGGCGTTTGATTAATGATTTCTGCGAGAATGGTGGAAAAGAACCTGGCGGCCTCCCAAGCTCTAAAACTGGTTTGTCCTATTGAATTTTTATGACTCTCAGCGAGGTACTTTCAGGCGGGGTACCCTGTGTATGCCACTGCTGAGTTACTGTCTTCCTGAAAGTGCTCCTTTGTTGTGTTCACCAGGCAAGCCCAGGCTGCTGCTTATTTCATGGGGGAAAAAATAGTGGCCTTATGAGAAACGTCTTACAGAGGAATTGTGCGGATTTTCACTTTCTTTGAGAAATCATGATTTGTGATGTGGGGCAGAGCCAGAAAGTAGCTAATGGGATTTGGGAGCCACAGGTGGAGATGATGTCTGGCATCGGCCGGGGAGGTAGATGTGGGAGGCTGTGTGCTGGAAGAACAGTCCAGATGCGCTGGGATGTACTCAGTCAGCGCTGGGTATCCCAGGGACCCTGTGTATTAAGCCTGAATGAGGAGAGGGCTTGGTTTACCTTCCTTGGCAAGTAGGGACATTTCTGAACTCCCAGCCAGGGGCCATCTGGCCAGCTGGCCTGAGTCCCATTCATTAAATAATAAAAGCCAACTGTTTTCTGTGTCCCTGCTGTGGCCAAGTGCTTTCTATACCCCCTGAGCTAGGTATTAGAATCCTCATTTCCCAGTGGGGAAACTGAGGCATAGTGCTCAGAAGGATAGCTCTAACTCACAAGGGACTAGCAGACCTCCACAAGATTTATGTTCATAGGACTCCCCAAATTTTGTTTTTTTAAAAATGTTTTAAATGGGATTTTTTTGTTTTTTGGTGTTTTTTTTTTTTTTTTTTTTTTTTTGAGAGAGAGAGAGAGAGGCACAGAATCCAACAGAGCCTGATGCTGGGCTCAAACCCATGAATCATGAGATCATGACTTGAGCTGAAGTCAGATGGTCAACTGACTGAGCCACCCAAGTGCCCCCACCAAAGGATATTTTTTAAAGCAGCCTGTGGTTCAGCAGCTGGGGGAGGGGGGGGGGGCGGTGCTCAACGGATCCCGGGTCTAGGCCTCCTCTGGTAGCAAGCCACGAGAGACTTGTCTTCAGGCAGTTTTGCTCACATATCTGCTGAAAGAGTTTTGAACAGCTATGTACCACCTCACACATTGTAAGTTCTTATTTAAAATCACGCGTTGTAAGTTTGAGGTGTTTTGCCCTAAACAGATAAACAAATATTTCACATTTTATGAAATGAGACAAAGAGGAGGGTTGACTGTATTTTAGATAAATATATAGTTTGAGTTTTAAAGTTTTAGCTACTTTTTAAAAAAATGCATGCAGAATCTCAAAACACCTAAAATTTGTATCCATTGGTTTTACCCAGTAGATGGTAGATGTTTCGGTTGTCCTGGAAAACTTTCCAGATACACTGAAGAGAGTCCACGTCCCTCATCTATTCTCCAATCAGAACATCCTGACACAGGCCAAGCCTTACCTTTCATAGAAAGGCACGTGAGGCGGCAAAGATGGGGCGGCAGAGAAGCAGAGCAGTCTCTGAGAGTTTCCAGATGATCTCTTTGTTTCATACGTGGGAGGTTCGTCCAGCTGTGGGCAAGGCACCGCGCGAGATTGGGGTGTGAGAACCATCCTCCGCCAGTTTCGAGAACTGTCCTGTGCAAACTAAGGATCTAGAAGCTGATCCTCAAGGTTTTCTAAGCAGAGGGGAAGCCTTCCCGCAGCCCAGGGCTGCTGGCACCCCACCTGAAGGCCGGCGTAGGAGCCGGGGAGGGATGAAACGGGACACCTGCTCTGGGCGGTGTTGGGTGTCGTCGGACAGCTGCGGTCTGTGTTCCTGGGGCTGCGCGCCCAGCGGGGGCTGTAGCGACCCCACAGCCTGCAGGGACCTCTTCGTGGATGTACCACGGCTATGGGAACAAGGTCTCGTTTGCAAAAGGAAGCTCCTACTTCCTTCAGTAGACGGAAGGGAGCAGTGCTGATTTGGGCGGGTGGGGGTGCGCTGGGGGGGGCACCTGTGGGTGAGCACCTGAGAAGCAGGCCTGCGTTCCCAAGGGAGTGGAGGACAGGGCTCTCCCGCACACAGGGTCGGGCGTGTGGCCATGAAGGGATTAACCAGGTTAACTTAGAGTTTAAAGACAGACCGAGGAAGGAGTGCAGGGCAGAGTCAGAAACAGACCACGGACTTGAGGGAAGACGGACTAAGAATCAGCCCAAGGCAGTAGAGGGATGTGGCTTCTGACCACGATGGGCGCTGATAATCCCAGGGGAGGGAGAGGAGGGGCGAGTGGGGAAGGCAGCCTGGCCATGAGGGGGCTGTTCGCGGGCCTGGGCCCGTCTCACACCTCGTCCTTCATCTGGAAGGGCACGAACGGTGGTCAGGAGACACGACTCAGGCGAACGTACGCGGCTGCTGTAAGTGGGTGTGAGGGTCCTGCCTCGCAGTGTGACAGGAGCAAACCCGCCACACGCCGTCGCAGGGGCAGCACAGGGCAGAGAGCGGCTGCTCGGGGTCTCGGAGCAGATCTGAGGCCTGGGCTGCTGGGCCCCCAACGCTGAAGCCCTAAGCCTGGCTCTTGCCCCTGTGAACTGGCCGATGCCAGCACTCACCTCCGGGGGTGCTCCCGAGGGCTAAGGAGCACTGTAACTGAAAGCCCAGGATAACACAAGGGGTTCAGTAAAGTTTGACTTTTGTTGTTATTGAGAAAACCCAACAGATAAGCTTGGAACAGGCTGTCGGAGGCCGAGTGGAGTCAGCAGCCCTTGGGGAGCCTGGCTGAGTCCCTGGCCCTCGGGAAGGGCGCATGGCTCGCTCACTCAGGGCCTTTGGCCTCTAGCCCCCATGGGGGCAGAAGCCCACCCTCACTGGAGAGGAGGGGCAAGCTTTCTTGGCCTCTGTCTGTGCTGAGGCTCCTGGTGGGGGAGGGCGGGGGTCAAGAACAACTGTGTGTGATCCTGAGCGCCAGCACAGGCCGGGCATGCGCCCCCGACGTGCAGTCTGTCTAGGCAAATGCCTATGCTTTACATCCAACAACAATAACCCTCCCCCCCCCCCCAAAACAAAACAAAACAAAACCCTGTTTTCAGTATTTTTGGACAATCCTGGCCAGGCAGGTTCAGATCCTGAGCTGGGACAGCTCTCAGCTCAATCTGGATATGAACATTCATCCTTGCCTTGGGGCCAGAACTTGACAGTGAGAGGGGATTTAACAGCAGCCCAACCTTTCCCACAGGCTGAGCACTGACTACTTGGCTGGGGGAGGGGGTGGGTTGGAGTTGTTCTGTGCTTGAAAAAGCAGAGACCCCCACCCCCACCCCCCATACGACTCCAAGCTGCTCAACGCATCCTGGCCACACCAGGACCCTGGCTCCAGCCTGCGGGAGGAAGGCCCAGGGGGCCCCAGGGAGGTGGGGAGGGGGGCGGGGTGCAGGGGGCTGTGGGCCAGGAGCCCAGACTGACGGCCTCTGTTCTGCCTCCTCAGTACCACATGGAGCCTGCCCAGCTGGTGACCCGGCAGCTGCAGGTCTCCGTGTGGCACCTGGGCGCGCTCACCCGGAGAGTGTTTCTCGGAGAGGTGACCATTCCTCTGGCCACGTGGGACTACGAAGACTCCTCGACGCAGGGTTTCTGCTGGTACCCGCTGAGGGCCAAGGTGACGTGCAGTTTGGGACTGAGCTACTGTGCAAATGAAACCCATTCAAAGGGATTCGAGGAGAGAAAACCTAGCAGGGAAGCCTTGGCTCTGACTCTTGGCTGGAAAGGCCCAGGGAGGAAAGGCTTCACATCACGCTCTCCTGGGTGGGGCCGCGCTGACGGATCTTTACCTGCTCAGGTTTGTGCCAAGCACCTGAGAGCCCCTTCCTTGGTGGCAGCCTGGGTCAGGTCCAGGGGGTTAGGCCTCCCATGATGGCCACGAGCTCCCCCCAGGTTCAGGGTCACGTGGTTTCAGGAGGAGACCTTGGCTCCCTGCTGCTATAGCCAGAGTACGGGGCCTGCAGCAGTCAGGCTGCCCTCAGTCATGCAGGCTGTGATGTACTGATTCTAGACAACTGACCCAGGCACTCCCAGAACCACAGTAGCTGAGACAGGCTGGGCCAGGTGCTGTCGCAGGGGTTTCAGGGCGGGGCGCTGGGGAGGCCGGGGCAGGAGGGGCTGGCCGGCCGAGGGTCTGCTCACAGGCTGTGCGAGTAAGAGGCAAATCTGGGGGAGAAAGGTTCACATCTCTGGGGCGACCGCTTTGCACTTCCTGTGCCGAGATCCAACGTTGAGAGAGAGTGTGGACGAGGTCGTAGGGGAGGAGGAAGCCTGGGGTCCTGTCATCTAAGAAACGACAGCGGGTGTGCCAATTCCCCAGTCTGGTGGTGAGGCTGAGTCTCTACCAGGCCGGGGCCAAGTTCTGTGTGCTGTTTCCTCTCTGATTTCCGGCTTCTGTTAGGTCAAACCGGAAGGGTCTCTGGCTTGGAAGCCGTGCTGTTCCACCTCTCCAGCCACCTGCTCTCTGTGCTGCTCTGCGCAGCTCAGCATCTATGTGCCAGCACCTTACGCTCACCTCTCTCAGAGCCTAGTCTGTTCTCAGGCGTCCACTTGGGAGGTCTGCTTGGAATGCTTTCTCCTGTCCAAGGTCTGCCTAAGCCTTAGCCGAAATCCCACCTCCTCCACGAAGGCTGCCTTGATTTTCCCTGCCAGATGTGCTTTCCCCTAGGATCCCGTACTTGGGTGCCCTGCCCATGTTTTCCCTCTAGGACCCCCTTGCTTAGGACAAGACTAGCCACCACCAAGGCTAGTGGCAAGAGGAAGGGGAGCAGAAGGTGCCAGGCTAAAAGACGTCCCTCCTAATACCAGCTAATAGATAGTGCCCCCCCCGCCCCAGCCTAGCTGGATTGGGAGGGTCCTGCTCACATAAGCACAGGTTTCCAGAAACTGATGGTGGAGGCAGCTTTGTCTCATTCGGCACCAGGAGACCCAGAGGAGACCCTGCAGTGCACACGGGCTGGCCCTGCCCTCTCCCAGGTGCCCTTGCCCTGGGTGTCTGTTCCCCACTGCTGGATGAATCTAGACCCTTCCTCTGCCTCTCCCCACCCCCCCGCCCCGGGGTTAAAGATGGAGTAGCCTGGCAAAATCACTCCAGACCAGAGAAGCCCCCGCGGTGCGCAGGGAGCTGTGCTCAGGGCGGGGGCTGACTCACCGGGTAGCTGGAATCCACTGACCTAGAGGGGCTCGATTTTATTCACTTCCTTCAAACTCTGGCTGCGTACAGGTTTTTCTGGGGACTATCCTGTGGGAACGTGCTGGGGCCTCGGGGCCTCCCCGCCTCGTCAGGGCAGTGGAGTGGGCGGCTGGGGTGGAAACGGAGAGTCATCACAAATGCAAGAAAGACCAGTCCGCCATGGGCATGTCCACTCCACCCCAGGGCACTCCCTGACCTGCAGAGGCTTTGCAGGGGTGAGGCTAGTGGGGAGGCGGGGCAATCGGAGGACCCCAGAAAGTTCTGGAGGCTGAGGAATCCTGCCTCTGCTTCTGTCTCTTGCTCCAGGCAGAGAAACATGAAGACAGCATTCTTCCAAATAATGGCGAACTTGCTGTCCGGGCCAAACTGGTCTTCCCTGCAGGGCCCCCAAAGCTTCAAGAGGCCCAAGGTAGGTGGCCTCCAGCCCCGTGAATGTTCATCTCACTGTGTCACTGTCTCCAAAGCCTGGGGCGACAGATGGGCTGAGGATTTTTCTGCCAGCCGCCGATCCTGGAATGTTCCAGTAACTTTCCAGGATCTGGGAAGCTCCGGCTGGGGAGTGGGTTCTTGGAACCTACAGCCTGGAAGGGAAATGAGGGACCAGGGAGGCCCCGCCTTTGACGTCCACTTTACAAGGCTCTGAGGACATCAGCCCCGGGGCTTTCCTCCCAGGGGGCTGGTGGCCTGGACAGCCCCCTTGATGCAGACCACCCCACCGCTGCACCTCTGGAAGAGGGGACGTTCCCCTGGCCGCCTGCGTTCCGGCTGGGAGTGTGGCTCCTTGGGAAACAAGAGCACATCTTGAGGCGCTGGGGCCTACGGGGCCCTGTGTGACTGCGTCCCTGCTTCCCAGCGGGGAGCTGTTGCCCTAAGGGGTCAAGGACAGGCGCTTGAGTTGCTTACAGGAGATTTAATGCAGTTACATCAAGTGGGGCTTATGGAAGAGAGGGTGGAGGGGTGGAGGGTGGCGAGTGATTCCATGATGTATTTAGTGGTCTCTTGCTTGGAAGAGTAAGGTCTGCGACCAGAGCTCACAGGGCCACCAGCAGGCCAACCCCCTAGAAATCTTGGGGCCCCCACACCCCTCCCAAACCACCTGCTGGAGCTAAACCAGAACCTCTACAGCCTTCCTCTCCTTGGGTCCCTCTTTACTATCTTTGCAGCTTCCGTTCTCCCTGGATTTGGGTGACCCCTGCATCCTGTCACCACGCTGGCCCTGCAGAGGGACATCACGTCAACAGGGCCAGCAGAGCCTCCCCCAGTGGATGTGCCCCTCTTCCCGTCTGCTCCCGTGGGGCCTCAGGGCTCTAACGCACCCTCTTGCTGTCAGTTTTGGGGTGCTACGTGCCATTGTGTGCCACGTGCAGAAGTAGGGCTCACAGCAAATGCTTTCCTTCCAGGGACAGGAGATGGGCCAGCCCCTAACGGTCAGCTTTGTCTGGTGGTGCTGGGAGCTAAGAATTTACCCGTGCGGTCAGATGGCACCCTAAACTCCTTTGTTAAGGGGTAAGTATTATATTTAATCAAGTATCATTTCCGGATTCCTAGAAGCTACATAGGAAACACCAGAAAGGGTAAGCGTTCTCAACTTGTCTTTTAGCTTTCCCATGAAAATCCAACACTGTTAGACTCCGATTTTGCCACGTGGAGGCTAGATTTAGAACACTTATTTTAGCCCCAAACGCAGATCTTATCGGTTTATGTAATGACATCAGTAAGTCAGCATTTCCTGACTGAAAGAGCTTAGAACACAGTGCACTGGGACACATTCCCTCGGCTTACCATCTCCTCCACCCTGTTTAGTTCATCCTTACTCACTACAGGTGAGTTGGTGTCTCTAAGTAAAGCAAACACCATTAATTATTATACAGAATTGCTACACCCCCAGTGACGTCATGGAAAAATGGGGGCTCACCCTGTGAAGACAGCTGAGTTCCCATCCTCAGGCTGCCACGTAACGTATGGCCTTGGGCGAGCTATGCGGCCCTTCTGCATTGGTTTCCTGAGAACAGGGTTAAGATGAGAGAATGCGTGCGGGGTCCTGGTCCCCGGGCAGCAGGCCGAAGCCCTGGTGGCAGGCATGCCAAGGAGGGGGCCTTACGATTAGGGGCCGCGTGACCTGGAAGCCCAAGTACCCTCGGCGTCTGCTGCAGAATTTACCCTAAATCCGGAACATCCTGGCGAGAGGTCACATGGCCAATCTTGAGCTTCCCATTCTGGCTCCTGGCTTGGAATTTTTCCGTGGTGGATCAGCCCTTCGGGCCTCTGTGATGCCAGCCCCACTGAGGGGGCGGGGGAGGGGAGGCCTGGTGGGGCAGGAACCGCCGACCCAGGGTCTGCATCTCTCGTGCAGCTGCCTCACTCTGCCAGACCAACACAAGCTGAAGCTCAAGTCCCCAGTCGCCAGGAAGCAAGCCTGTCCCCACTGGAAGCACTCCTTCGTGTTCAACGGTGTGAGCCCGTCTCAGCTGAGGCAGTCCAGCCTGGAACTAGCCGTCTGGGACCAGGCCATCTTTGGGGTGAATGACCGCTTGCTGGGGGCAGCCAGGCTCGGTTCTAGTAAGTCCGCCTGAGGGATTTATGGGGCCCAAGTAGCACGGTTTGTCCTTAGCGACGGTCTTACACGGTTACTACTGGACAGCCCTGCTCCCGTGAGGGCAGGGGATTAACGGACTTGGAAATGGCCTCACTCGCCGTGATTCTGGAGACTGCCCCCGCCGGTTCTTCCTCTACACCTGAGCTATGTAATACAGAGAAGTATTTCAACAATTTAGATCAGATTTAGACGTGCTAAAGACAAAAAACTAATTGGCTTCCAAATGGGCTGGGTACAGTACTGGTCTTTGTGTGTGGTGTCGATCCTAAAGGGATTATTTTCTTAAGGGAAAATATCTTAATCCAAACAAATGGCGATTCAGAAAGCATTTCGGAAGAGTGGGATGGAAGGCCGATGCTTTCCAGTGCTGCTGGCCTTGTGGGAGACAGCCCTTTGTGCGCAAGGGTGCTCCCCGTGGCCCCTGCCCCCATCTCCAGGGCCTCCACCCGAGGACCTCGGAAGACAAAGCAGGTTCCCGCTCAATTTCGATGTTTTACAAGGAACACTGCTCAAGACACACCCCCTGCCCAGAGGGATTCCTTTCTGTCTGCAAACCTGGCTCCTAGTCTGGGTCACCCCTCCCCTCGACCCACAGCCCCGTAATGTGTTCAGACTGTGACTCACCTTCTTGAACAGCCAACCCACCAAACATGCCGCCCCCCTACTCTCGAACTATGGGAAAGAAAGCGGCTCTGCCCAGGGTTTAGGGAGGGAGGCCTGCGCCATGTCCTGGGTCTGCTGTCCGGGCTCTTCCTCACCAGTGGGTGGCTTTCCATGTGGTCTTGAGGTGGAAAACGCTTTTTGCTTTTTAAGAAGTTTGTCTTCAGTGTTTTCAAATGTTTATTTTTTAGAGTGAGAGCACGAGTGGGGGAGGGGCAGAGACTCCTCAGCGGGCTCTGTGCTGACAGCCGAAGTCGGACGCTTAACTGAGCCACCAGGTGCCCCAAGCGTGTCATCATTTTTAAAAAGCCAAGGAGAGGCACCTGGGTGGGTCAGTCGGCAAAGCGTCCAGCTCTTGATTCTGGCTCACGTTTGTGGGTTCAAGCCCCACACTGGGCTCTGCTGGCAGCACGGAGCTGGCTTGGGGTTCTCCCTCCCCCTTCCCTCACGCTCTCAAAAATTAAATAGTAAAGTGGAGGAAAGGGCTGGTAAGGTGGTAGGTCTTGCGCCCCCCCCCCCCCAATCACTGATCTGTCACCTTGCTGCCATCACAGGGGAAGACGCAGCTGGGGGCGTGGACTCGTGCGCTCAGTCAGAACTTCAATGGCAGAAAGTTCTTTCCAGCCCCAATCTGTGGACAGACCTGACACTCACTCTGCACTGAAGCCCATGCTCCAGTCCTCAGTGGAAGTTAAATGCGACGTGCCTGAAGGTAGCTAGACACTCGCGGCTACAGCAGTGGCAAGCATGTCCCCCCGTGGGTATTTATGTTCAGTGGGTGAGGATGTAATAAATGAGCCTTGGGGCTGTTTTGTGGTGAGAGCTGTGGAAATGGCCAGATTTCAATAAATGTTCAACACGCCCCTCTGTCCCCCAGAGTTCGTCAAATAGTGAAAATTACGTCCTCATTCCATGCATTTGAAAGAAAAATAAAGGACCTGATGACTGTTAGGTCCCTCGTGGGGGCAGGCCAGGCCGCCCCGTGGAGCGCTGGGTCCCCCAGGCCTGCGTGGATGGCGGGGTCCAACGAGGGCCCCCCCGCCCCGACACGCAAGCACACACGGCCACGTCTTGCCTTGCACATCTTTATTTCTCAATCCGTGGTGGGGGTTCATCTGCACAGACTCTTTCCCAGAAAAGGAAAGGACATAGCTGAGCACGACGGGGGACCGGTGAGACCTGGCATTTCAACAGCTTCGAGGATGCGGGAGAGAAGGGGGTAGGTCAGAGCAGCTTCTCCTTGGGGGAACGAAGGCCAGACCAGGTGGGAAGGGTCCCTTCACAGCTGGAGCCTGAATTATCCCAACAGCATGTGTGCACGGTTTTAAACAAGCAGCTCAGACAGAACACAGAGCGGTGCATAGTCCGTTACGTGCACAAAGAACAGAGTAAAAACATGTTAGCAGATGTGATTATAGCAGCTAATCAACCTCATCACTGCTCTCATGTCACATCACATGCCATGGCTGCATGGTTTTTAGTACGTAATTCTTTTATTCCGTAAAAGGTAACAAAATATACAGAATGAAACTTTCCCTTTTTGAAACTAATGTTACAAACCCATATTGTCACATATATAAATACTATTCTCTACAGCTGATCATTAATTCCGTGCGTCCAGCAAGGCAGCCCCTCTGTTACGCAAAAACACAAGTTCCCTAAGACTGGAGCGTCCTCCCTGCCGACCTCGACCTAAAGGAGCAGTGTGTGCACCGTGTGTGAGTGCCGCAGACGCGGTTTTCAAGGTTTTCACCCCTCAAAAAACAAATATACAAAGATGAATCCTTCATAGAAATCAAAAAAGAAAATCAATTTGAGCTAATTTCAAATACAGAAAAAAGTATGGCACAGAACAGAAGCCACGATGTGGTTTTTAATTACACGGAATCTCGTATCACACATGCCAGCATGGAGTTTGTCATGCAGACTTTACAGGCATCTTTCCTTAATGCAGTCGGTCCCGCTGCAGGCGCAGAGCAGGAAGGGGCTCGGCAACGGGGATGGACCCAGGCCTGCTTGGCACTAGGACGCGGTGGGGGGAACGAACCAGGGAAGCATCCACTGATCTCAGCCCCAGAATACTCCCGCCGACAGAACTACTCTCCTTTTACGGGAACTGGAATACGATGGGGGGAGGGGGACCCTAGATTTAAAGAACTACAAATACAAGCTCTGGAGTCTGACCGCGACCCCATCCCCACGAAGCCCAGGTGAGGCCCCGCCCCGCCCCCGCCTCACATGGCCTCGAACTCGTCGATGCGCTGCTTGGTGTTGCCCTGCCGGATCTGCCGCAGCGTCTTGTACTTGTCCCGGCCTTGCCGCATGTTCTCGTTGTGGATGATGTCGTTGTGGGTCCTCTTGTTCTCGTCTCTGGCCTGGGACAGCTCGTTGGTCAGGGTCTGCAACGTGAAGCAGCACAGGTCAGGCCCGCCCAGGGGAGGCGGGCGCCAGGAGGGAACAGCTGCTTCACCACCCCCGGGAGACAGAGGGAGGGCGCCCCCCGCCCTCACCAGCAGCTGCCGCTGCACCCGCTCGTTCTTCTCGGCCTCGGTGATGCGCTTCTCCTCGTTGCGGTCATCCAAGATGCCCTCGCTGGAGAGCTCGGCGCTGTAGCCCGTGTGCTCCGCACCCTCGTCCTGCAGGCTGTCCTGGACGTGGTAGCTCACCGGCTCGTAGACAGGGGGGGGCGGGGGCGGGGGCGCGGTCATCACCAGGTGCAGCTCCTCCTTGGTCTTCACCAGGTCGTCTTGGGCTTCCTTGGCCTTTGAAAGCAGTCAGTACACAGGGGACAGCTTGTCACATGGAACCACGGTTGTGAACCCCCTTAACTTTAACACACTAAGGCTTCTGCACCTCCCCTTGCCCTGGTGGGCGGGGTACACGTGTCTAAGCAGCACGGAGTGGAGGAGGGGGCCACGGCTGCTGACAAGTGTCCCTGTGCAGGGGCTGACCAGCCTCTCCCCAGTCTGGGGCTCCACATCCGCTGAGCAGTTCTCAATCATGCCCACAGCACAAAGAAACTTGATGCTAGGGCGCTGACTTTAAGAACCTTGGGGGGGGGCGCCTGGGTGGCTTAGTCGGTTAAGCGTCCGACTTTCGCTTGGGTCATGATCTCGCGGTTCGTGGGTTCGGGCCCCGCGTCGGGCTCTGTGCTGACTGCCAGCTCAGAGCCTGGAGCCTGTTTCAGTCTGTGACTCCCTCTCTCTCTGACCCTCCCCTGCTCACACTGTCTCTCTCTCTCTCTCTCTCCTAGAAATAAATAAAAA